TTACATTGATTTACCCATCGGTGAAATGAAAGAAAAAATAGCGCAAAATGTCTGAGTTCATTCACAACTTAGCTCGTGGCCGCATGGCGACTGCTTGTTCGATCTCTACCTAGTGTTGTCTGCCATGGCAGAGGAAAATTGCCGAAAAGAAAGGTAAGGCCTATAGCGAGTTCAAACGTTGATCTTTTCATGTACCAAACTTAATTAATACCTATTTAGATCAACTCAAGGTTGATTCAGACGTCGAACTTTAAAATAATTAGCCGAACTCAATTCATTTTCACAATGTTCAATGGTCTAGAATGCTATAAACAGGTGAAAATAAATTTTAGTAATTTGTGAATATGGTTTTGGCAAATGAGAAGTTTGACGCTTGAACTGGGCCTAACAGTGATGATTGTAGCCGTCTTTTTTTAAAACTTAAAACTGTTTTTTTTATCAAGAAGAGACTTCTTTAACTTAAAAGGTGTTGGCTTAGCAAAGGAAAGTAAAAACATCGACTAGTTTTGAAAACTTTAAGCTAGTTTAATTTGTACCTTTATTCTTCTGATTGGTATTCTTTGCATAAAATAGATTTTTTTCGCTCAATTCAGGAATGCGATCACCGTGGACAAAATGATTCATACTCACTTACTGAAAATATGATCTTAGTTAATAATTATCGACCGTTGACCGCACTTTTCCCTTAAAAAATAAACAAACAAACAATTGGAAAGAGGCCCCCCCGATTTTGTTTGAGTGGAGGGGGCGGCTGTACACAGACTATAGATTTTGGCACCTTTTCTTTTTTACTTCGAACTTTCCCCTTGTGAAATTCTTCACCCTATACCCAGGCAGTGTTGGACACGGTCCATGTGACCAATTTTGTCCAATCACGTCATTGCAGATATGGTGGACTGATTCTTTCACCTTTTTCTGGGTAGTCTCTTCGATTTTCTTTGATTTTTTCCGTTCATCAAGTAATTTATGATTATATTTTTTGGAAAAGTTTGAGTAGACAGATGTAGCAAGCCGCAGTTCTTAAAACAATATAATGTGTGTCTGTTTTCTATTGATATTGTTCTTTGTAATTCTTCATGCGCATAATCCCTTTGTTTAGTTAAGAGCTATTGTTTCCGCTTTTTAGTCTACATCTTCTCTGTTCAGCGACCCCTGACCTCCATTTTTAGCATAATTACCTTGAAATGGTAATTAATTTACCATTTCAAGTATCTGAAATGGTCTGCGGGGCTGTTTTAAGGGTCAGAATGCCACTTGAAGTTTACCCATGTGCGTGAATTGTGACTCCATTCCGCAGCATCTTTAGTATCGTAAATATACTCGCATGGTCACGATCGAATCAGCCTAGAATACTTTCACTACACAATCAGCTTAGAATACTTTCTTTCATTCCCTTTTTATTTGTCTTTAAAAATATGATATTTTTTGTTATATATATGTCATCGAAGCGGCCCTTAAGCCCTCCTTTTTGAATAGTTCCTTGGCTTCTTCCTTCCGCCCTTGTCCGCAAAGAGTTAAAACCTTCTGTGCGAGATTCTTCACGATTCTTAATAAATCATACAAAAAATAAGGAACAGATAAAACTGAATTCATGCGGACTAAAATGAATAGAAAACCTCTGCTAACTTGCTGTTGTCCTCAACAACGACAAGTTAGTGGAGGAGGATTCCACATTTGCGTTGCCGCTCCAGTTTTCTTCTGGAAATCCAGAATAGGTTGCACATTATTTTTGATGAGAAGATCAGTATCCTTCATGCACATGTCAATGTACCTGAAAAAAATCTGAGGTGAGAAGAGCACTAAAGAGAAGCTTTAATACGTTCAAAATCAAGCACTTTAAGCACATGTAAGAATGAAGTGATGATACGTACCACGTTGTTTCGATCCCTAAAATTATCTCTTTGACACAGAAAATAACAGTTTTGGGAAGCCAGCAGTAAACATCAATTGCGGCTACCTTTCCAGAGAAAGACCTTAAATGAACATCGCATGCCATGTCTTTTAAAAGCGGAAGAAGACCTGTAATGCCCATATCACACTATTTCTCCAGGTATTTTCATGGCATAACAAGAGATATGAACAGAGCAAAGGTCAGATGTAAATGAGCTGTTTTTGATTTTTTCCCCATGATGCCCTTCAGACCGTGTCCAACACCGCCTACCCTATACCCTTAAGCTTTTGGATTAATTGAGGGATCTACTATAATCTCTGAACAATTTGAGAAAGTCAAGCACCAGTTTGTTTGACCTGACATGTTATTGAAATGACTCATTGGCAAAACAAATGGTCACGAAGAATCCCGGTACAAATTTGAGCTATTTCAAGTTTTTTTTTTTGGATTGAGGTATGTGTGGCTCTTAAAGAAGTTTATGTCTTTCATGGCACACGAGGAAACCACCTTCATGCTCAACCTTTCAAGTCAAGGTGCGACTTTAAATTTTATTGCCTGAAAAAAATTATTTGTTTTTATAGCCACATGACTTCACACTGACAAATGCTTTTTTCAGATATTTTCAATGGTTAATAATTTATTGCAAACAGAGAGGTTTATCAACAAGAGGTGTAAGATATGTTTTGTTTTCATCATCATCATCATCATCCTTGCAATTTAATCACAGAATCTCATTCATAAAAATGCTCTTCCAGGGAGCTGTGCAAAAATCATGCAATAAAATAATATTAGATAAGTACAGTTATCAAAATGGTTCTAAAATTAGAATATACTTCAAGCTTAGCTTGTCTGTTGTTTAACAGTGTTTGATAGACTATTCCAACCGCCCCTTTATATAGTGAAAACTGTTTTTTCCAACCTCAGTATTCAGTCTTGGATGGTACAAACAATAATATTAATATGTTTGAGTTCCTTAGATTATAGGAATACATAGAGTTTGTACTATTAAGAATTTGAGCCAAATGATCTGATGTCATGTGATTTTTCAATATTTATACATTATTGTGGCTAATTGCCTTGTCCTTCTTGTCTCAAGATTATCCCACGGCATTAGTTCATCCAGTATCTCAACTGATCGCCTTTCGCAACTAGAAGAAGTTACCACCTGGGCAGCTCTGTTTTGTTTTGTTCTAAGTACAAAATCTTTGCTGTAATGATTGAATATCACTGATTTAAAACTGAAAAGATTTTTCAGTCTCGAATGCTGACATCTTTAAAAAAGAGCAGTTTAGTCCCTGATTTTTTGTTTAGCCTGCTTCAGCTGTTTACACGTGTTACCGTACATAGTGCACGGTACTTACTTCACCTAAATACCCTCTTAGTGTCCGTTTGCTCTAAGGATTTACTTATTTGCTTTGCTGACCACTGGAGAGGAGAATAGGACTGGTGTGTAGGCAGACATTTTCATGAATTTTACAACTTTTTTTCTACTTATTATATTTTCTTTCTATATTTTTTTTAACCCACGACGTTTTACCCACACCCACCACCCACACCCACTTCCCACTACCCATGACCCACCACATGAACATTTTAGTTACACTCAGCCTAAATTGGAATAACTACCGCAAACTAAAAGAACCTTTTCTGCCCAGACCTCAAAAAATGCAGGTTCGTATTAGCACCAGTGCACTGTACATGTATCTCATTCATTTTATCTGTTTTGGTTTCTTTTCAAAGGTTAGAGCTACAGTGTATAACACAAGACTTACTGCAAACATCAGTAAACTTAAGGTGGCTCGACTGGATTTTTTTGGGGGGGTACCTCCCAAGTTTGGGCATTAACTACGTCGCCATGAATAAAGATATGGAAAAAAGGTTTCCACAACTGTATTATATAAAGATGAAAATTCTTATGGTCTGGGTTTTATTGCAATCGGAGTCACCATGGCAACATAATGACACCATTACGTTTTTTATTTATCTTTGTGTTTCTCTGTACCAAAAGTTTTTTTAAGAAATCGCTTAAGGGAGTTTGTACCTGCCATAATTGCCTCAATTATGGCAAAGTTTGAACCAATTCTATGAGAGCGCTTTCGAAATTTTTTGAAACGAAGTTTTAAGCATCATAAAAACAGTGAAATAGCATGCTAACCACATAATTAGCTAATTTTTTAAGAAAATGATAAGCTTTGGAAACGCAGCTTCATCTCATAGTGGTTTGATTCCATTGAAAACTGTGTACAAAAAAAGAGGGGAATTGCTCTGGGCGATCGTGAGTAAGAAGAATTTTATTAACTTGCATTTAGCTGCTTTTGTTACAGTTTTTGCACGTAATTAATTTGGTCCACGCCTACAAATTTCGCATTTTCCAAAAACCACTCGATAAATTTTTTTATAAATTTGACAATCCCGAGACCAATCGTCAATAAATATACCCTTCAAGTTTCAAGAACATTGAAAACAAGAAAGGCTTTTAAATAGGGCCTCAAATATGACCAATTTTCCCCCCAGATTTTATGTTTTCAATTGAGCGTCCACGTTTCCAAAGCTTATCGTTTTCTTTAAAAATTAGCTAATTATGTGGTTAGCATGCTATTTCACTGTTTATATGATGCTTAAAACTTCGTTTCAAAATATTTCGAAAACGCTATCATAAAATTTGTTCAAACTTTGCAATAATTGAGGTAATTATGGCAGGTACAAACCCTCTTAAACGATTTCTTAAAAAAACTCCTGGTGCAGAGAGATACAAAGACAAATAAAAAACCAAATGGCGTCGTTACGTTGCCATGGCGACTCCATTGCAATAAAACCCAGATCATAGGAAATTTCTGTCTTTATATAATACAGGTGTGGAAACCTTTTTTCCATATCTTTACTCATGGCGACGTAATTAATGCTCAAACTTGGGAGGTATCCCCCCCAAAAAAATCCAGTCGAGCCACCTTAAAAGGGGATGAAGTTGTTTACAGTGTATGTGACTTAATCCAGTCATGTCCAGTGATGCCACCCAACTGCAGCATTAAATTCAAACATCTGCCTTGATGACATTTATTCATGAAAGTAAAATAAGAACTGTTGACTTGTGTCTTCAAATTTCTTAGTTTTAACGAAGTACTATTACCTTTACTTTGCCATCCCCGTCATCAAAAGCCACAGCAATGTGACCCTCCACGGTCACTGTTATTCTCTCTATAGAACCCAACAACTCTACTTTTTCATCCAGCTGAATTCTGCGAACAAATTCACCATTAACAGTGTATATAGCCAGCGTCAGGCGGCGTGTCTCTCGTTCCAAACCAGCAAGGACGACTTCACTTGTCGCCGGGCGACATGCAATGCGATAATAGACATCTCTCTCATATTTGATATTAAATTTGCCAAGCCGGCGTCCCTCGACATCAAATAAGTACAAACTGTCATCCTCGAAGTCCTCTATCATGACGCGACCATCACAAGTAGCAGTGATATCTATTGCCCTCTTGAACACTCCCTCACCAAAGCAACAAACGAGCTCGCCACTCGGCCCGTGAACATCAACAAGCTTCTCTGCCAACAGCAGAATTTTGCCGCTGCTCACTGTTAGTCTGTGCCAGTCCTCGCTCCTCCTCACAGGAAACTTGTGCTGTAGGTCAGCGGTCTTGTTAAAAACCTGCACTTCCCTTTGCAATCCACTCTCCCATTTCTCAGGCTTGTGCAGTCCGACCAGTAGACAGATTTGGTCGTCCTCGTCGGCAATGGCGACATCCAACACAAATAACATTGTATCGGCATCATCAGTTTGAGGATTAAACCTAAAATCAATCTTTCCGTTGCTATCAAACACCTTCACGGTTGTATCCCCATCGTCTACCACCAGGAACTGTCCTTTGGTGTTTGTAGCGATACCAAACGGCCACTTCAGCTTGTGCTTCTCTTCACCCTCCTGACAAAAAGACCATAGTAAACAGCAGTGCTCGTTACCTTGTTTTTTCAACGCTTTAACAACTCTTTCGTCGCGGAGCGGATCCACTTTCTCTTTCCCAGTTTCAACATAAGGCAACGTCCATCTTTTTACACTACCGAGCATGTTCATTACATCATAGATCACACGATTAGCGTGACAGACAGAAAAAATTATTTGCCTTCTTTCGTCTTTGTTAAAAAGAGCCCTCAACCCTTCCTCCAACTCAACTTTGAAATATTCTTTAACAGCTGGCACTTGGTGTAACTCGTCAAGGCAGACTCTACAACCCGCTAATGCGTCGGTAGGATTGTCAACCGTCTCCAGTATTGTCGCCATCAGTCGATATTGCACAGCTAACAGACGATCAGACAATTCCAAAGCTTCATTACTAAAAGCTCTTATTGCTTCAAGACGAGCTTCTTCAAATCTCTTCTTCGCTCTCCCAAGTTTCCTCGTGGCGGACTCATCCAGGGAAGAAAGTTCCAATTTCCTTATTTCTTTAGCAATATCGAATTGCTTAGCACCAACTGTTGCAGCTGCTGTTATCGCGCGATGCTCGCTACTGGACCTGGCACTTTCAAATACCTCATACAACAACTCAATCCCTTCCTTAAAAAGGCTGATACTCGCTAGCAAATCCTTTCTTGCTAAACCATGCAAAATCGATTTTATTTCATCGATTTCACGGACGATCAAGCCACGGAATTTCTGATCCGTAACATCACCCTCATTCAACTTTTCTGCCAGTTTATCTCTTCCTTTATTCACCAGCAGGCCGATAGTGGCTTTAAATACAGCAGTTATTAGTGAAGACATGTTGAGTACTCCTTTTAGTGAAGATCTCGGTCTGCACTGGTATCTCCGGTCCTTAACAGTTCAGTTCAAGCGCTGACTGTTAAGATACAAAAAATGCAAGCGAGGTTTAAGTTGTCAGAAATGACTTAAACAGCAAAAATTCTAAGAAAAATTCTAAGAACTAAGTAAAAAAGAAGAGAAAATGATTGTCTAACTCTTTAAAAAAGAAACTTAATAAAAGGTCTACCGTTCACGGGTTGTTGGTGAACTGTGTTCTGAACTGCTCTGAACTGTGTTCCGAATTAAACCCAAAAATCAAGCTGGTAAGTTTTGAGGAAAAATTTCACACTTTGCTTATTAACTGTTAGCAAGATATGAATTTCAGTACCGTTGTATCCGTCCTGTAAACACGCTAGAAAGACCTGAGGGGTATTTTCTTAATGTACTAGTCAATTAAATTCATGCGTGCGGCCATAATCTCATGTTGTCAATGATACTGACAATTATTCCCCTAGCCCAAATGGGCTCTGAGTTCGGCCGAATCAGGGCTATTGACTCAGAGGCCATAAGGACGAGAGGAATAATTGTTTTAGTAAAATCCAACTGACTGGATTAAGTCACATACACTGTAAACAACTTCATCCCCTTTTAAGGTGGCTCGACTGATCAAAAATATCGAGACAAATTAAAACAACTTTAGTCAGCGAAACGCGATTCAGGCGCCATTGTTTTGGTTTCCAAAGCCGGCGCTAGTCGCTACCAGTGGGCTATAACATATAAGCTGGTAGTAGCTCAACCAATCAGAACGCAGCATTGATTATAGACCACTAGTTGGATTTTACTTACTGAATAGACGGTACTGGTATTCTGCCATTTCAATTGTGTTAAACAGCAATTAAAATATATAACAATCCTGTACTGATCTTCTCCTCAATATTATTTATCGTCACTCGGCTGTTCACCGTAGGAATTCGAAAAGCTTCAAAACCTATTTGTTTAAACATTTACGTAACATTTTATCTGCTTGAAATAAGGGTGGCATGAATAACACGGGTGTCTCGAAAAGTAAGACCTAAGACCCCCTCCAAATCTGAAAACTAAGACCTAAGCCCCCTTCCAAATCTCGAAAACTAAGACCTAAGACCCCCTCCAAATCTCGAAAACTAAGACCTAAGACCCCCTCCAAATCTCGAAAACTAAGACCTAAGGCCCCTTCCAAATCTCGCAAACTAAGACCTAAGGCCCCTACCAAATCTCGACAACTAAGACCTAAGACCCCCTCCAAATCTGAAAACTAAGACCTAAGACCCCCTCCAAATCTGAAAACTAAGACCTAAACCGCCCCACCCCCGCCAAATCTGAAAACTAAGACCTAAGACCCCCTCCAAATCTGCAAACTAAGACCTAAGACCCCCTCCAAATCTGCAAACTAAGACCTAAGACCCCCCCAAATCTCGAAAACTAAGACCTAAGGCCCCTTCCAAATCTCGAAAACTAAGACCTAAGACCCCTTCCAAATCTGAAAACTAAGACCTAAGGCCCCTTCCAAATCTCGAAAACTAAGACCTAAGACCCCTTCCAAATCTGAAAACTAAGACCTAAGGCCCCTTACAAATCTGAAAACTAACACCTAAGACCCCCCTAAAATCTCGAAAACTAAGACCTAAGGCCCCTTCCAAATCTCGACAACTAAGACCTAAGACTCCCTGCAAATCTGCAAACTAAGACCTAAGTCCCCCTCCAAATCTCGAAAACTAAGACCTAAGACCCCCTCGAAATCTCGAAAACTAACACCTAAGGCCCCCTCCAAATCTGAAAACTAAGACCTAAGTCCCCCTCCAAATCTCGAACACTAAGACCCAAGACCCCTTCACAATTTCGACAACTAAGACCTAAGACCCCCTCCAAATCTGAAAACTAAGACTTAAGACCTTCTCTAAATCTGAAAACTAAGACCTAAACCCCCCCCCCAATCTGAAAACTAAGACCTAAGACCCCTCCAAATCTGAAAACTAAGACCTAAGACCCCCTCCAAATCTAGAAAACTAAGACCTAAGACCCCCTCCAATTCTGAAAACTGAGACCTAAGACGCCCTCCAAATCTGAAAACTAATACTTAAGACCCCCTCCAAATCTCGAAAACTAAGACCTAAAGCCCCTTCCAAATCTCAAAAACTAAGACCTAAGACCCCTTCCAAATCTGAAAACTAAGACCTAAGTTCCCTTCCAAATCTCGAAAACTGAGACCTAAGACTCCTTTCAAATCTGAAAACTAAGACCTAAGGCCCCTTCCAAATCTCGAAAACTGAGACCTAAGACTCCTTCTAAATCTGAAAACTAAGACCTAAGGCCCCTTACAAGTCTGAAAACTAAGCCCTAAGACCCCCTTCAAATCTGAAAAAAAAGACCTAAGACCCCGTCCAAATCTGAAAACTAAGACCTAAACCCCACCCCCCCCAAATCTGAAAACTAAGACCTAAGACAACCTCCAAATCTGAAACCTAAGACCTAAGACCCCGTCCAAATCTGAAAACTAAGACCTAAACCCCACCCCCAAATCTGAAAACTAAGACCTAAGTCCCCTCCAAATCTCGAAAACTAACACCTAAGACCCCCTCCAAATCTGAAAAGTAAGACCTAAGTCCCCTCCAAATCTCGAAAACTAAGACCTAAGACCCCCTCGAAATCTCGAAAACTAACACCTAAGACCCCCTCCAAATCTGAAAACTAAGAACTAAGACCCACTCCAAATCTCGAAAACTAAGACCTAAGACCCCCTCGAAATCTCGAAAACTAACACCTAAGACCCCCTCCAAATCTGAAAACTAAGAACTAAGACCCCCTCCAAATCTCGAAAACTAAGACCTAAGGCCCCTTCCAAATCGCGAAAACTAAGACCTAAGACCCCTTCCAAATCTGAAAACTAAGACCCAAGGCCCCCTCCAAATCTCGAAAACTGAGACCTAAGACTCCTTCCAAATCTGAAAACTAAGACCTAAGGCCCCTTACAAATCTGAAAACTAAGACCTAAGACCCCCACCCCGCCAAATCTCGAAAACTAAGACCTAAGGCCTCTTCTAAATCTCGACAACTAAGCCCTAAGACCCCCTTCAAATCTGAAAAATAAGACCTAAGACCCCCTCCAAATCTGAAAACTAAGACCTAAGACCCCCTCCAAATCTGAAAACTAATACCTAAGATTCCCTCCAAATCTCAAAAACTAAGACCTAAGGCCCCTTCCAAATCTCGAAAACTAAGACCTAAGGCCCCGTACAAATCTGAAAACTAAGACCTAAGACCCCCCCAAATCTCGAAAACTAAGACCTAAGACAACCTCCAAATCTGAAAACTAAGACCTAAGACCTAACACCCTCTCCAAATCTGAAAACTAAGCCCTAAGACCCCCTCCAAATCTGAAAACTAAGACCTAAGTCCCCCTCCAAATCTCGAAAACTAACACCTAAGATCCCCTCCAAATCTGAAAACTAACACCTAAGACCCCCTTCAAATCTGAAAAATAAGACCTAAGACCCCGTCCAAATCTGAAAACTAAGACCTAACCCCCCCCCCAAATCTCGAAAACTAAGACCTAAGACAACCTCCAAATCTGAAACCTAAGACCTAAGACCCCCTCCAAATCTGAAAACTAAGACCTAAGGCCCCAATAAGCTTTATTTGCATGACCATAACAAAGTATTACAGTATTGCAAAAGCTACTTGAAATTACTCATTGATTCCTTGTAAATTAAATATTTAAAATAATTTGAAACTTATTAATCATTGTTTTTTTCTAACCATCAGTAGGATTAATTATTCCTGAGGTAAGTTTGTCTCTCAATTCAAAGCAAGTTGATATAAATGAAATTAATTGGATGTTAACGAAATAGTCAGTAGAATTCATCAGATGTGATAATAAGGGCTCATGTGATTGTAGTCGCAGAAACGGTATTTTAGGTTCTAGTTTAGAGATGAACATATCTCTTATCGAACAAAAACTTGGACAATCTAATAAAAAGTGAGTTTCATCTTCAATTCTGTTACAATTGCAGAGTTTGCTCGAAAACTAAGACCTAAGACCCCCTCCAAATCTCGAAAACTAAGACCTAAGGCTCCTTCCAAATCTCGAAAACTAAGACCTAAGACCCCCTCCGAATCTGAAAACTAAGACCTAAGGCCCCCTCCAAATCTGAAAACTAAGACCTAAGACCCCCTCCAAATCTGAAAACTAAGACCTAAGACCCCCTTCAAATCTTGAAAACTATGACGTTTAAAACACAACGGAAGGGAAGGTGTTAAGACCCCTTGTTCAACTCAAAAACAAGGAAAGGTTTTTCTTAGTTCAGCAGTAGCATCCCTGCAGCATGCTTCTCAAAGTTTCCAGTGTAGTGAGGACCAAACTTACACTGTCTAACTTGAGTATTCTTGAGAAGGAACTTGACTTTGCTGCGTGACTTTATTCTGTCTTTCTAATAGCGGAGCTCCACGCGCGGCGCTTCTGTGGTAATCAGGGCGGATAAATGTTGGGCCCAACCTTTATCAGCCCTGGTGGTAATCTACCCATCCGAAAAAATTTAGTAATCACGTGACCGTACACCGAGCGAGCGACCGTCCGTCCGCACCACAGGCATACCAATGTAAAATAACTCAATCAACAGGTATAGCAACTCAAATGCAACTCAAGGTTTTATTTGGAAGTAAATCACAAGGCCGCCCGGACTTTTAGAAACAAAAAACAACAACAAAGTCGTGTCTTTTTCGGCGTTATTTTTTTTTTTTATGTTTACACTAACGTGGATAACAGAGAAAGAGCTAGAGCGAGTTATTAAAAACAAAGGAGCCGAATTTCGTAGGAAGAAAAACATGGAAATTCAAAGCGGCGGTGAGAAAATGAGAAATGCTAGCGGCCAGCAAGGTGAAAATGAGACGCAGTAAATAATAAAAGCGAACTTGGACACAGGAAACAAAATATTGGGTAAGCCGCAACAATTCACCATAAAAATAATGTGTATGAGGTCTTGGGTCTTAGATCTTAGGTCTTAGGTCTTTACATGGAATAGAATTTTAAATCAGTCATGAAAAATAGTAGTGGATGCTAGCCGTGACAAGTTGATCATATCCGACGGAGACATTATTGAATCATTACAAACTAAAGAATAGTCATCTCGACCGGTCAGAGTCATGCTTAAGTCTAATAATCGTTAAAACTTATCCACCAACCAGACCTTCAGATTAGGGGATGGGGGCGGACGGTCATCCAGACCCTGAGATAGCGGGGGGGGTGGTGGTCTCAAAGGTTACTTGTTCAAAGGGTAAAAAGTGCTGAACGATAGGATGAAACTAGAAAATAACAAAGCGACGCCATCTTGAAAATTCAGCACTCAGGAGGGACTGGCACTAGTAGCTGCGTTCGATATCTAACACGGACAAAAATTGCCAATTTTACACGAGCACATAGAAAACCAAACCTAATATAGAAATGTAACCAGAAAGCCTCGGACTCATGTTAGAATTTTTCTTTATCGAACGTGGGCTATTACGAACTATTACCAGGAGCCTATGGGCTCCTGATTACCAATAAGATAAAAAACAAAAAACAAACAAACCAGCTTATCAGCGACCTACTCCAGTCTTATTTCTTCGTCAATTACTTCTTTTAGTTGAATTTAGCTTTAGAAGAACGCCTGATCGCAGGTTAATTGGTGATTAACTGGCATTGCTTCATTCCCTCCTCATTTAGAGGTGTCCCGTGGATGTAGATAATATTAAAGATCTATTTTGTCCCTTTATGAATCACTTAACTTCGCTCTCATGCGAGCTAGCTAGACTTGCTATGTATCAACCTCGCGAGTTTCGAAGCGTGCGGGCTAACTGCGGGCAGTGGATATTGCTCGCTGTAAAATTTGTAATAATTTTTATTACCAACTGTTTATTAAAATAAACATAGTACATGCAGTTGAATCAGTTCTGCGGAGCGGGCATTTTAGGCCGCGAAGCGGCCAAGAGAGCCAGTGGACGAAGTACTTTTTTGAAGGTAAGCCTTTTAACTGATGATCCCATCGCTGTCACTTCGCATTTCCATAAGGTAATAGACCTTCGAATGTTGACAAGAGCTGTCAAAATAAACCATTCATAGCGTTTACCAGAACCCGGTATACCGGAAGGATCCGGAAGGAGCTTTTGTTAAAAAGTACCATTAAAGGGGTTTTTACGACTCTCACTCCGCACCCCTTCCCCTCATTGTTTTTCCTGCTCACTTCTTTTTCAGAATGCTCTTTGCACAGTCCACACAAGATAAACGCCACGTTTAGAGAGAACGCGCAAATTCTCTTACAGATTGCGGTACTGTTTGCAGCTCAAAAACTTCACGGTTCCGCCGGTCGCATGTAAAGAAAAGGCGGATCCCTGCAAGTTTTTGGCCGTTCAAAAATTTGTAAAAGGGGTCTGAGTGTTAACTAGAGTTGGTACCTTTTCCATCATATTGTGTTGATCATTGATAGAAGTCGTACACCTGGACGTTTACAGCCACTAGGTTCCTTTTAGTTTACTAGTGTAGTTGGGAAAGAATTGACATCTCCTACATCTCTTCGTCACTGGATTTGTCAAAAACACTCTCACTACGTTGTTTAACATAAGCAGTCCTCACATTTAGAGACATTGTCGAGGTCTTGCCTTAAATTCAGAGGACGCAATGATGACAGAAATGGAATTTATTCATCTCCTAAGGAGATAATTTCCAACACCATTTTGTTTGTTAATCTTTTCAACGGCGCTGTTGCAAAAAGTGCGCGCGCGAATCATACGAGATGGCACAAAATGTGCTAAAATTAGCACATTTAATGGCTATGATATATATTTCAGGGGCAACCAACGACAATTTTCGGAAAATATCTGTTCGGAAAACGATTTGCGATTTAGAATTTTCGGGACGTTTCATTGTAAAATTCCTTGCTTGCCTGCCTCTCCTATGATTTTCGAACATGTAAAAAATGGTATAATTGCCCATTTTTAACGGATTTTTACCCTTAAAAAGTCACCTAGAATTTTCGGGAGCCTTTCTTCTGGCTGAAATTTTCGAAAAGGTAAGTTTTGATCCCTATAATTTTCGAATCAGTAAACTTTCAGCTACGAAATCCGAACAGATGAAAACTTTCTACGGGATAAAAATATGCCTATGTCTACCGTTTAAATACTAAAATGCGTTTAACAATGCTATGTTTAGGTGGTTTTGAACTATCTTCTCGTTGGGTGCCCCTGATATTTCGATGAAGTCAACCCCATCCCTGGAAAAGGTATCCAGTTACGGTCTACTACCCCGATTTAGATAAATATGGCTCCTGGTAGAGTATAAAAACGTAATTTTGTGCTATTTCGCAGCGTTGCTAGATAAGTCTGTCCGCCATCAGGAGCCCGTAAACCATGTATGAGTAAAGACTACACATCAATATTAATATTGATCTTGTAAAAATTCTAGTATGAGCCATTAAAATTGTTGAATGACCTTCTTCACCTCAGACACTCGTGTCAGTCAAGTGTGAATCGAAGTCCCCCATTTTGCCTTTTTGTTCAAAAAAACCTCTGACCTTGCAGCCCGGCTACATCTTGCGCCCATCATCTGCCCCCAAGGGGCGAGGATCTGGCTCCTTTTTGATAGGGAAATTCATAAATTGTCTACTAAAACAGTGTGCAATATGGAAGCAAGGCTAATTTAAGCGCTAAGAGCTGCTCACATATCTCAGAATTGGAAAAAAAAAACTAGTTAGAGAAATTGCTCAGCAATTATGTAAAAAGTTGCTTGAAACGCAAAAAGTTGCTCGAAATACTAGACGTTGCCAAAAAGTTGCCGAGCAACTTGTGGAAAGCCCCAGTGAGAAGGGGAGGGGGGTGGGAGGCTACTCAATAAAGCATTGTTCGGAGAGGTTTCGCCCCGAGGTCCAGTCCCTTACCCTTATATATACTATGTTTGAGAAAAGGTAATCCTTTCGTGTATCTTCCATTGAAAAGTTGCACCCTTTTCATACATATGCTTCGTGAGAATAAATCGGTAAGAAAGGAGGTCTTCGGGCCATTTTCGTATAACCTTTAACTGAATTAACATGTAAATGATATTGCCATAAGGCGTGTTTCTTCGAAGCATTTGATAAAAGGCCCTTTAAAATACTTAATGAAAGATTTTCCTCTCCTTTCACATACTTCAACTTGTGATTTTTTCCTACCCTTTGTTACACCTGATGCTTGAAAGAGGTACCCTTCGGGCGAAGCCTTCCGGACTATGAAACTGTGCATCATGAAATCATGAACAGGAGATGAGGGAACCTTCGGACATGGACGGTGATTGAAGACTGACGCAAAAATAGATGATAAAATAAAGATTCCAAAGAAAGACTTATACTGGATAACTCAAAAGAAGTGAATGAAGAGTAAATGAAGACTGAATAAAGTACTGCCAATTGGTCACCTTCCCCAAACCCTATCACTTCGCCCCCCAAAAAAGACCGACAACACAAAAAACGCTAAATTTAACTAAAAGTAGTGATTGAAGAAGAAATAGGACTGTAGTAGGTAACTGATAAGCCGGTTTGTTTGTTTGTTTTTGTTTTTTATCTATTTGGTAATTCATCACGTTGTGGACAAGGCAGCTACTAGTGTCAGTCCCTCCTGAGTGCTGAATTTTCAAGATGGCGTCGCTTTGTTATTTTCTAGTTTCACCCTAGCCTGCGTCGCAAGCGTTTCCTCGCGAGGTTCGTCTAGAAAGCTGGGACAAGAGCAAAAAAAAATGAATGACGGGGAAGGGGGAGGGGAACGAAGGAACCGCTTGCCCGCAAACCCCACGATTTTGAAAAACTGCGTTCGCCCACGAACGCAGCTTCTGATTGGCGCGGTGCGGGTAGTGTTGATTACTTAGCATTCGAAACATCAATCAAACCAGGTATGCTTTGTTTTCGTGCGTCACAGATCTGGTCTCATCCGATTTGTGGTCGCAGATTACAAATGCTTTGGACTGATATTTATTGAAATCGTGTTTGTGCGAAGGTTTATGAGATCAGAGTCTTTAAAGTATAATTGGAGATCGAGCAGTGGAGACTAGGGAAGGCCAATTTCTTGAGAATGACGGCGTGTGGATCTGACTGGAAAAAATGGACTGTTTGTTGGAGATAATATCAACATAAAACAGAACATCGGTACTCGACAATAGCTAAAGCCGCCATGGACAAGCGATTTGTCAGCTTTTTGAAATGAAAAGATTCTTTTTGTTTATTTGAAATTTAGCGGCATCTATTGTAGAGAACGTTTCGACACAGGCTGAAGAGCAGCCGCTCTGCAAAACTTATACCCGGCGAGTGAATTGTTCCGGACAAATCATTTTTGACGTGTCGACAAGGTTTCAGACGAGATAAAGCCACACAATAAAAAAACAAGAAATTCCGCAGCAATCGCTCATAGTTTTAACTTTCTTTTATCGTAAATCTTTTTTATTACAGTTCTTGCAATCGCCTGCAACGTGTTCTATTAGAGAACGAAGCAATTTTACAAATCTGGTAATCCAGAGGTAATCTGTTCGTTATGCTTCTATTTTGACGAGCTGTCAATTTACAAATGAACCGAACCGTGAAATATCAAGGGGCGTTTTCCAGAATCGTGGGGTTTGCGGGCAAGCGTTTCCTCTTCTCCCCTTCCCCTCCCCCTTCAACCTTTTTTTTGCTTCCGCTCTAACTTTCGCGCAATAACTCGATTGGAAACGCCTGCTACGCAGGCTAGTTTCATCCTGTTGTTCAGTACTTTTTGCCCTTGGAACGTGTAACCTAGGCAGTATTTCGAGCTTTTTGATATTTTCTCCAGCTGCTGAACATACTTTACAGCGAAATATGGAAGAAAATTCACGAAGAGGACTTAAAACAAACACGAAGGGATCGGCCTGTTTGCAAGAAAAAGCTTGGAAACTATAACAAATGTGAGTTTTCTAATTTCTTCCTGTTTCAATGGCCCAAAATGATTATTAGTGTTTTGGTTACATGGATGATAGTAGACTTCAATTTGGCTGTCAGAGTTGTTCTGTCGTTTTAGTTGTGCGCTGTAGATCAATTCAAAAATGCCCGATTTTTTGCTCGTTTGCAGACACTGAGTTTAGGTCAGATAAAATAAGAAAATTTTAGTCTTGTCCGTGGCTGCTTAACAAATCTTATGATTTTAGAAAGTAGTTCTATGATGTGTTGTATCGCATACAAAAAATAAACTTCGCTCGTTAAATTTTGAGGGTTCTGTGAGTTTCAGAAAATGGTGAAAATTTGCTTATAAAAATGGCGTCCGAGGGGGTTGAATAGAGTGATGCTCGTATCTCTAATACAAGAGCAGTGAAGAACCTATGTTTATTATATTTGTCCATTACTCCACCAGACCTATCTATGATGTTAGTATGAACTTATTCTGTTGACCCCCTTCCGTTGACATTTTTAACATTTTGCCCGGTTTTCTCTGACAACCACTCTTAAGCGGATACCCTCTTAAGTGGACACTTGTGAAGGTCCCGAAGGCGTCCGCTTAATAGACTGAATAGAGGTTTCACTGTATTTTATTTCTCAAACAAAGTCTCAACGGTTGCTTGTAACGCGACACCGACTCTCTTGTGAGAAAGTTAATTTACATAACACACTCTTAACGTGACCTTGGGACGCCTATGATTGCAATTGTAACAGAATTGAAGACGAAACTCACTTTTTAGTAGATTGTCCAAGTTTCTCTTCGATAAGAGATATGTTCTTCTCTAAACTAGAACCTAAAATACCGTTTCTACGACTACAATCACATGAGTCCCTATTATCACATCTGATGAATTCTACTGACTATTTTATTAACATCCAATTAATTTCATTTATATCAACTTGCTTTGAATTGAGAGACAAACTTATCTCCGGAATAATTAATCCTACTGATGGTTAGAAATAAACAATGATTAATAAGTTTCAAATTATTTTAAATATTTAATTTACAAGGAATCAATGAGTAATTTCAAGTAGCTTTTGCAATACTGTAATACTTTGTTATGGTCATGCAAATAAAGCTTATTGTTGTTGTTGTTGTTGTTGCATATACATCCATAGTACGACCGAAGCTGGAAGACCGTAAAATTCCGAAAATAAGCCCCGGGGCTTATATTTTTCAAAGGCCCTTTTTGAGGCTTATTTTTGGAGTGGCTTATATTCGGAGGGGCTTATCTACAGAGAGAAATTTGCGTTTCAAAATCGATTGGGCTAGCCTTATAGTTGGAAGTAAATTTACCGTTTTACTTTGTATCTGAGGGCAATTTTCCAAGTACAACCCCGGGGGGCTTATATTTGGAGGGGCGATTTAACAGAGGGTTATTTGCGTAACAGGTTTGGGGGCTTATATTTGGAGGGGCTTTAACATGGAGGGGCTTATTTTCGGAATTTTACGGTATGCAAGTGCGCCTTGGGACCAGTTTTTAAAGAAAGATATCAGTGCAGTATTCAACGTAAGGCAGCACGTTCTGCTCACAGAAAGCAAGTGTTACGGACATGATTAAAGACTTAGGGTAGGCCACGCCCGGGGGGGCACTCCCTTATATAAGCCATATAGGTATATATGTGCCGCGACATCAGGTAGGGTTTTTGCGCCTTTTTGGTCTAAAAACGGGTGTACACTTTGCCCTTTTTGGTCTGAAATCGGCTCTGGTTTTCGAGGGAACTACGGAGTGTGAATATATTTATCGTTTCAATTCCATATGAATAAGACTGAGAAATATGCGAATTCGAAATGGATTTGAAGATTTGTTTTGTTTGCGCTATAATCTAAGTAATGATATTATAATTTCTTCCTAAAAGCCAGGTCTGAAAACGTGTATGGATTTTGAAGGTCTAGTCTGAAAACGGGTGTGGAAAATTACATTTTTTTTGGTCTGAAATCGGGTTAGGATTTGAAAAACCGGGCTGCACACCCCCACCAAGAATTCTTAGGAGTACCCCCCGGGGAGGGCACGCTGGTAACGAGAAGAAGGCAGTTTAGGTTAACACTTATTATGTATAAACTAACTCATGGTCTTATTGATATAGATAGCCGAAAATATTTAATTCAACACTCCGAGAGTCGCACGAGGGGAAGCCATCAACTTAAATTTCGCGTGCCATATGCAAATAAAGACGGTTTTAAATTTTCGTTTTTTCCAAAAAGTATAGCGGACTGGAACTGCCTCCCTGAGGCCATTGTTTTATCAACCTCCTTAGAAACTTTTAAATATAGGTTATCAGCTTTTCTTAAATAATCGATATATATATAGTTTATATAGTTTTCTTTATTTAACCTTTACATCATTATTTTATATACCAATATATCTGTATTTTATTCATTTACTTATTTTATTCATTTATATATTTGTTTGTTTTTAGTTTTACGGTTAATGTTGGTGTGATATCTTAACGATTTACCGACCTAATACTCGTAAAGGTAAATGTAATGTTCCAGAGTGTCAGGTTTAAGACGTTTAGTCAGCAATAGTCTAAGCAAGGACAGCTAATATTCAACACACGTCGATCGTTGTGCCAAAAGACTTAGATATCTTGATTTGAACCCTTCTTTGGTACATAGCTACGTTAAATCATCGCCCAGGTTTCAGCAACCTGAGACAGGTTAACTAAAAAACCTGAGGCATATCACAGAGCTTATTAGCTTAACCAACGCAGAAGAACGTTTTGCTGACAGTCCCCGGGATAACAGTACTAGTGTATTTTGAACAAGTAGAGGTATAAGTTTTGATGAACAATAGAAACAACACCCATTAACTTTAGAAATATCAATTATATGTACTTACTTTTGGCAGCTTCAGTTGAAGGAACACAAACGTCACAAACGCACAGCGAGATAGTAAATGCCAAGGAAGTCGAATTGAAAGTAATGTATATCCTTGAACGTGCAGGCATTTTACAGACCTGACTTGACGTACTTGACCTCTGTGTGTTTTTATTAGAACTAGACACTGGAAGGTGTATACTGGGTTACCATAAAACCTATACTAGATAGAAATAGTGTATTGTATGAAAACGACAATTTTACCAGAACAGACAGCTGAGAGCGTTTGAAAGGAAGAGGTAACAGTTGTCCCTGCTAAAACGGCATTCCCATCCCGGACACCACCCCGACCCACGGGTCTCATTAAAGTGTTTGAACTGAGACTATAAATAGATGATAATGATAATTGATGGTCAACACAAACAAGCTATTGTAGGTGGGTGTACCGTGTGGCACGAAATTTTTGCTGGAGATTGGCGATTTTATATTTTCTGTTTAGTGGAAACTAATTTTTGCGCCTAGGACACATTGGTTTTCTCGCTGAGAATAAAAGATTTTTGCGATTTTCAAAAAGTACCCAGTACCCAGCTTGATAATATTTTCGTTACCTAGAAATAAGCAATAAAGCTTCAAATGTTGCAAGCAGAAGTGAATTAGGACGGTTGCCATAAAAACATCCTTTAATATATAGATTTAGCCAGGGCTAAAAGCGAAGCTCCCGTTAATAAATTCATAATTTAAATCAAACAATAAACTTGTAATCCACAGATCAGGGCACATTTATTTGACTTTTGAGGCAACGGCTGAGTGATTTCAGAGAAAAATCAGAATTTGACCGTCCAAGAGTGAAACAAATTTTACATCAAGTTATTTTTACACCGAAAAATACAATCATGTTCGATCACAGTAGATTAGGCCTGGAAAACAAATAGACCTATTCGTGTATTGTATTTGCATTAGCTGTAGCATCATAATGTGGCATTCACCAGTCTCTCCAACATTGCTCCGTTAGAGAGACTATGGATAATTGGACAACCCCGAAATATAATTTTAAGAAACACATGCGCCACGATAGTCCTTGGTGGCAGCCAATTTACACGTTGCATTCCTCTGTCTAAAAGAGAGGCAAAAATTAAAATCAGGCAGGATTTTTTGTGTTCGACAAGTTTTTTTTATTAGTAAATCTTGGCGACGAATCTGGTGGCGTGTGAACCAGCCTTTTAAACATACTTTTTCTCTTCACGTCTCAGGTAAACAGTACACAGACCTCGGACAGAATTTGTTCTTTTTTGCCCTATTTAAACCTATAATTCTGCAGTTTTTCACAATTTTGCAAGAGAATTTGCACTCATTCAATATCCACGACGATCAAAGCACGCGCTTCCTATGCAAAACAAATTATAGCATTGAATTATAAAACGATTTCTGTTAGAAAAATCTGGTCCTATGGGATATGCGGGGTAATAATTATGGGCTTTTAATGAAAACGATAACAAAATTCCCAAAATCACTTTTCGGCCAGCCGGACGGGTTCTCACTTTTAACAGGCACCAAATTTGCAGTGCGATTAATAGAGTTACCATTTACGCTTCAACATGATAGAGAAATTGTTATGTTTAGGTTTTATTTCCCTTTATTCATTAAACTGTGTATGATTTTGTTATGTGTAATCTTTAAAAGCGAGTACATGCGATGTTTATGTTCGACTGGAAACAACCGGTGCAGCGATGAAAATTGCGAGAGGGACTACTAACAATCAATAAAATAAGTTTAATTCGGTGAAACATGTACAGAGAGAATAATTTTCATTCACGAAGAGAAGTATTGAGAGTAAAGTGTCTCAGAAAATCATGAGTCAGGCAAGCATAAGCTTATTTATGTTTTAAGCCGGCTTCCCGGTGTTCGCTCTTTTTCAAGATGAACTCGAGGCAAGAAAATCGCTCAGAGCTTTCTGTTTACAGCCAAAATCATAACTAAACAATCTTCGGAACCTTTTCTTTGAATTTGCGGGTCAAAAAATGTCTAAAGGCTTTTTAAACCTGATACTATTGTAGGTTAGATCATTACTCGTGTTTTAACTTAAGCCGCATAAACCATACGCTCGACTTCAGGAAACCGAAAAAAAAAAACATCAAAAACAATAATGGCTCAAGCTTACCAGTCGAGATGCTGCTTCTGAAGGTCATCAAGTGTTCCAGAATCGCTTGAGACTTTTCAACCTTCTTACGCCTCAAGCAAGGGCAAGTGAGTAAGCTCATTTTTGAAAACGATGCCATCCGAAATCGGATTTCCAATGACTTTGACAAGCGGTGCATTTGTCAACAAAAAGCGCAATAAACAAGCCAGCCACGAATTACAGAACAATCTTGATAGCAGCTGTATTTCATTTTGTACCCCAAGGAGAAAAAGACAGTTTAAAACATCACAAGATGACACAAAACTCTCTCAGCTCCAGCTATCAGTAAGCAAGTTTCCAGACGCTGCAAAAATTTTCCGCATAAACTCACCTGTCAAATTTTGACCAATCAGAACATAAAAATTGGACGTACAGCGCGATCAACGCGTGACAGTGAGAAAAGTCAAAAGCGATTGCCTTCCCTGCATGTAAATGTAAAAGCCGGTTGAATTTTCGTGTCCAAGATCAGTTCGAAATCAACATTTAAAAAGTGCGGCTCATGAAACACGACTTATTTCATATGCATTTAAAAAAATTGAACTTGAGCCTGCGATCATTTGAAAAGTAGCAACTTGTCAGCGAATACCTTCTAAATATTGCTCGAACTCAGAGGATCGATACCTGAGCCCGCGGTACGGTCAGGCGATACTGGTCAGCAGAAACACTGTTTTGACAGCTGTCAATTAATCAAAACATGGATGTACAATATCAGGTTGCAGGCTCCCAAACTAGCTAGAAAGTGTGAGATTAAACATTGGTATGCCTGTGGTGCGGAAGGACGGAAGGTCGGGTGGTCGGTGTACGGTCACGTGATTGCCGAATTTTTTAGGATGGATAGATTTTCTATAAAGCTATGGGGCTTCGAATTGAGCCCGTGATCAAATAAAATATCAGCGCAAAACTTTAAACACTACGTGACCTCAATAGATAGAAAAATGAGCCCGCGATCCACTCAGGTGATGATGGTCAGCGTATACTCTAGTTTGACAGCTGTCAATTAACCTTCATTAGAATGGGGAATATTCGAATTACCAGACTACGAGCGTGAGTAGGACATTTCCGTCCGGCATGTAGTGGAAAATGCCAGATCGTGTACCTGAGCGAACGTGAGCCCTCGTTATTAGTTTTCTGATAGCGGTCTGCACATGTCCCATTTTGACAGCTGTCAACTGACCTTAATTTGGCCTGCCAATGTAACTTGAAAGGACTGTCAGCCAACTGACAGCCTTGCCCGGCGTAGTTTCGTTTTTATGTTGAATTGGTAAGTGTGAGATATTATATCAGCTTATATATAGGGGCAAAACGACTGGTCTTTTATCTGAGCCCGCGAGACGGTCATGTGATAATTGTCAGCGGATGTCTGATTTTGACAGCTGTCAATCTAATCGTACTCATACGGATGGCTTACATAACTAAGATTCTAGTCAAGTTGTGCAAGATCTATTGTGACATTTGACATCGGCTTACATGAAGTGTGTGTACGGACGGGCGTACGCTACGTCATAACCAAATTTTCTGGGATGGATAGTTTACCAAATTTTCTTACCCATGGTGCTCCGCTGCGCGCGCGCTTCGCGCGCGCGGGAGCTCCGCTATTACATATTGTGTCTTCTGCGCAAAAACGAGGATAGTATTGTTAAACAAGCCTTTCGTACTTCGCTAGAACTTCACTGTAATGGTATAAATAGCTTTTACCATAATCTTATGAAAATATTATGACCTCCCTGATTTTGATCCTAATAATTTAAGTGAAGCTAAGATCAAAATCTATATAGATATAATAAAACAAAAATATATTGCATATTGGCAACATACAATCCATCATTCTAAGAAACTACAATTTTACAGCTTATTTAAACATGATTATAAAATTTCAAGTTATCTAGACTTAATTAGAAATTCTGCTAATAGGAAAGATTTAGTGAAAATTCGTATAAGTAACCACAAACTCATGATTGAAACTAGAAGATATGTGACCCTCCACAGGAATTTGATGCTAAAGCTGAAAGCACGCGCACGACACGCTTGCACGACACGCTTAGCGTGCCGTAGATCACGGATATGCGCATATTAAATTGAAAAAACAAAGACGGACACACTTGCCTTTGTTTTGGCAAATTTAACACGCTAGACCTTTTGTTTTTTTGTAGCGTGCCATATGTCACGGTAAGTGTGCGAATTATAGCACGGTTAGCGTGCAATTTGGGTAAGACACGCTGAACACGCTTGATTACTAAAACCGCTAAGATGATAAAAATGGCTTGGGTTTTCAGCGGATTTAATCAGCATTGATAACTGGTCGAAGTGAATCAAATATACCAATTGAGACTGTTTTGGAATTTGATAGTAACCGTGGCCATTTGAAAATCACGACTTAATGGTGGTCTAGCCTGGAATTAACGCGAGATCAGTGTAAACCAATTCCTCCGGCTGTCGGCTGTTGACCGGAATCGCAAAGAGGCCTGCTATCGCATGCGAGGCACTGAAGTTATGTCGCCTGAAAATTATAGTTATGCCACCGGAATATTTATTAGCAGTAATGCACAGAGAAACGAAGTTGAATAAATTAGTTTAATATATTTTTCTTTAAGCCATGCTGAGACGAATGAAGGTAATTAAATCAGAGAAACAAAAACTGCCTAGAATTTTCTACAGGTTGAGGAAGGCTAAACATTTCTAGATGACCGTTCCATGCATGTACAATTTTCGAAGGTTATCTAATAAATTCCTTACGATTTTCTGAAGTTTAATTTTTTCCATTTCATTCCCCAGTTAAGCTATTTTTCGTAGAGAATTAAGGAATCCTAAAATTTTCGGAACCGAAAATACGATAAAATTCTCACTTTCCTAAAACTTTCAATTGGAAGCTAAATTTTTCGGGAAAATAATGCTGAAGCCCTTGTAATTTCGAAAAGA